ATATTTTATTGTTTACTTTTAAAAGTTCAACTTTTCTGCCCTTCATTTTTTTTTTAATGCTTTGTATGAATGTTGTAAATACAAAACTTCTTTTCGTGAAACGTCAATTCAATCGTTAATTAATTTAAAGTTTCGTCGTATTATTGAAAGAAATACAGAAGTAGCTGAAGTTTACAGTCCGATTGGCCATTTTAAAATACTAAAATACAATAAAGTAAAGTAGATGATGGATAACCCATTGTAAAGAATCATATATTGCTTTCAAATGTTCCATATACTAAAGTAAAGGTACTTTTATACTCAGTAGAAAAGCCTTAGAATATAAAAGTTTAATCTTGAATGAATATTGAAAAACATTGTCAACTACAAACCAGAATTCAAAACTCAAGTAACAAAAAAATGGCAAACCCCAGTGGGCACCAGACCAAAAAAAGACGTCTTTTGAACGTTGAAAAGACGTCCAAAACGTTCAAAAGACGTCCAAAACGTGTATAAGACGGTTAAAAGACGTCTTTTTTACGTCCGTGTCCACTGGAACGGTGTAAAATTTGAGCAACTAAAAGCGATTAAAAAAATAAATCTCAAAAGACAATGTTCTAAAATTTATGTTGAAACTCATGCCACTTCAAGGAAAAGCATATATGACACCAGTCTTACAAACATTCATTTAGTATTAAACTTTAAGCAATATTTGGATTTCAATCAGATAAAAAAAATTATTTTATCAATTTGCATACTATTGTATTTCATTTCTAAATGAAAAATAACACGTTTGGCTCAGTATTTAACTCATATTTATTTTTGCTATCAAATAAAAATTGAGTCCAACATACTAATATATCTAACTTTTTAAACTCCGTAAATAATTTTGTATTATTAGTTTTTTTTATAGCATTCGCACCAATTAATATTTGTGCTTCTCATGAACAAAAAAAAATTATCCAATGCTCTTTAAAACTGCATTAAGTTATTTGCAAAATTTTTTCTATAAAAGGTTAACAGGGTAAAAAGAGAACTAAACAGCCCATAAGTTATTCTTTGTTTAGTTCTATTTTTACCCTGTTTACCCAGTTTTAATAGCTCAATTAAAAAGCAATTTATTTATACTTACTTACTAAAACCCTCCTTTCAAACAAGTTGTTATTGCTTCTATTGGTCCTTATTTATAAATCAGCTAATCGTCTAATTAGACTTAAAAATACAATAAGTTTACAAGAAGTGTCTGTGCTTGTGTCCTAAAATTTGATATTCGGAATACTCCGAATCACTAAATATGGTAAAACAATCTTATAATTTTAGTTAAAATCAGTGAAGTAATTTCTTTTTAGCTCATAGAGTTTAGATAACAATTTAGAGATACGATAACAAAACAAGAGATAAGATAATAATTTAGAGATAACAATTTAGCACCCCCAGCCAGAATTCATGATAACTGAATATATCTGACCCACAGAAATGGCTGGGTGCATATGAAAGCCCTTGATGTCATGATTTCAAAAATATAAATTTTAAAATCCAACTATTTCGTCTCGGAAAATAAATTGAGTTTTTATTTTTATTATATTACAGCAAGTAATATAATAAAAATAAAAGACAAATGACAGCATACCCATTTTTTGCATTTTTACAGTATCAAAAAATTTGAGTTAGTGATAATTTTATTTCTTTAATGATATCATATGTATTCATTCATTTTACAGCACTGGTTTGATAAAAATAAACTATAATACATTCTTAAAAAAAGGCTGTAACAAAAATAATGCAAAACTTTTTTAATTCTTGAAATAAGTCTTCTGCTCCTGTTTCAAAACTACCTTTAAAGATGTTTGCTGTTAAAGTCAACTATGCATGTTTGAAGTTGCCTTCCATATTCTGGATGGGTTGATGGTCTCTTGTATCTTTGTCAGTGTTGATGAAAGTGATGGTGCATAGCTTCTGTCGTTTGTTCACTGAAGATTCCCAAAGCGGTATTTTTCTTTTGAATAAAGTCCTTCACATGAAAAAAATACTGCATACACTTTTGGAGTCGCGCTTCCAGATGGCATTGCCATATATACTTGTCTGAATAAGTCAATTTTTCTAGAGAAATCAGAAAATAATGTGGACCCAAAGCAAGCACTAACCACAGCTTCAAATTTCCGGAAAGCGTTAATAATGGGACAAATATAAATTGAGGACGTTTTCTCTACAAGATTTTGCAACAAATCCAGGTTCTTCAGAAGCTTGTGAAAATCATTTCTAGCAAACTGTCCTCCGTAGAAAGGTTGTTGTTTTATGTGAAGAGTATCTAGCCACTTTTCAGCATAAGCCACATTGATTTCAAGATCTTGAAGAGGTGATTGAAAACTCCAAGCAGCAGATGCAATTCCATAGGTGGAATTAGATCCAAAACCAATTGCTCATCATCCAAAGCAAGTAATGGAGGATGAACCACATTTCAGAATTCTTTTGCCTTTTTCATGTCACGTCCTGCAGCATCAAAAGCTTGATAGGATGATTTGAGAGATCCAAAGGTGCGAAGATTTGATGGGAAATCACACCACATGCAAGGATGTGATGAAGAGTGAGACTGAAGTTCACAGAGGATGTTGGCCAGTTTCAGATCACAAGAAACAACAAAATCCTTAGGGTTAGACTTGATGAGAGACAGAACATTTTGGACATTCAAATAGGTTTCAGATAAATCTTCAACAATTGCAATGATAACCTGACGTTTGCAGCCACTATCTTTAGAAGAGTTTGTAGTCAGGTTTTTCTTACATGTTGGAGGATCATCTGCACAAGACATTTTCTCAATAGCTCCCAGTGTGGAGCTATTGAGAAAATGTCTTGTGAACGACATCCTTCACAAATCTTAATTGGCGTTCGTTCATCTTCAAAGTTGATCTTTTTTTCAAACAAGCTTGAAATTTTATGTGCCATTGATAGTGAAATTGTTCTTGTGCTTCTTTTCAAGCACAAGAAACACACAGTTTTCCGTCAATCTTTGTGAATTTTTGATGGGGCATTTTGAAAGACCAAATGATTCCAAAATCGTAAAAATGAGTGGCTCTTTGTTTGGATGTATTGAGAATAGCTCTTTCCCGTAATTTTAACACTAATAATAACAAAAAATCATTTTATGTAAGAAATACAGGTATGCTCTTTTTGCAAATTCATAAAAACAAAAAAACAATGTTTTAGTCATATAATAATAAAATTATCACTCACTTAAATTTTTTTGTATACTGTAAAAATGCAAAAAATAGTTATGCTGTCATTTGTCTAGTTGCTGTAATATAATTAAAATAAAAACTCATTTTATTTTCCGAGACAAAATAGTTGGCTTTGAAATTTTATATTTTTAAAATCCAGACATCAAGGGCTTTCATATGCACCCAGCCATTTCTCTGGGTCAGCTATATAAAGTTATCATAAGTTCTGGCTAGGGGTGTTAGAGATAAGATAACAATTTAGAGATAAGATAACAATTTAGAGATAAGATAACAAAACAAGAAATAAGTAACAACAATAAATTATTCCAAATTAAATTTGGTTTAGCCGAACAATGATAAAAACGCTTTTGCTACAAATGTTTAAAGGGTGGTGGGATTTTGCAGTTTTTTGTTTAAGTTTTTCTTTTTTTTTTATTTATCTTCTTTTTTTTGAGTGTTAAGGAATGACACTTTTATAAATTTGATTCAAAACTCTCATTTTTGCTTGGAAAATCTCTAACAAAAGCAAGAACCAAAAGAAAACGAATAACTATAATAATCAACTCCAAGAGGGTTAAACATTATTATAACTCATAGCCTAACCAAAAGCACTTATTTATAAATAAAAAAACTGCAAAAGTCAACCACCTTTTATAAATAATACTAAAAAAAAAAAAAAAAAAAACTCCAAAGTACGTACGCAGTTATAGGGGAAGGACGTTACCCAAAAGCGTACAAATGCGTACAAGAAGGGAGGGTGTGTTAACGATAGTGAATACATTTGCGGTTTGTTAACCTCTTCTTCTCTCCTAAAACTTGATTTAAAAAAAAAAATAAAAGCATTTAGTTTAAGGAATTTAATGCTACGTTATGTAACAGAGAAATGTTGACTCAACTTAAAGGTTTTTTTGTTTATAATGTTTTACTTCAAACTTTAGGTGGGGGAGAGGAGGGTTATTTTGAAATAAATATTGCGTACGTACGCAGAGGGAGGAGATTTTTGGAAAAAAACAGGTGCGTACAAGAGAGAGAGGAGCCACTAATTAGAGGTTTTACTGAGTAAGTACTTTATGGATGCCCTCTTAATATGATTTCAAAAACTTCAAATAATATCATATAAAGTATCAAAAAAACGGCATATGTACAGCATGGATGGTGCCACATGCCACGTAGCTCGAGAAACAATGGCTTTATTGAGATCTAAGTTTCCAGGTTTATTATTTTACGTAATAGTAATGTCAATTGGCCGCCAAGATCTTTCGATTTAACTCCTTTAGGCTATTTCCTTTGGGGTCTTTTTAACCTTAACACCCATGCAAATGCTCGAAAACAATAAAGGACCTGAAGAGCAAAATTAATGAGGTTATTAATGAAATAAATCCAGCTTTGTACGAAATCGTAATTTTTGTTAAAAAGTTCGAGTCATTTGCCTGTTATCATTTTTAAAATATGTTAAACTTTAAACAAAAACTAAAAAATGCAATTTAATTTAATTATTTATTTTTCTATAAAAAAAAAAAAAGAAAAAAAGATTGCCTTACTCTAGTGGCAATTTCTACTTGGAAACTTCATGCAGGTAATAAATCATCATCATATAATAAACATACCGACAAAATATTATTTTTACAAGACAAAACATACCAAAAAAATATTATTGTTACACGATGGACTTTTTTAAAAAACAAGGATTTTTATAAGGGGCCATCCATAAAGTACGTACGCATGTATGGGGGGAGGGGGGGTTATCCTGAAACGTACGAATGCGTACAGGGGGGGGGGAGGGTGTTAACGACAGCGAGTACGTACGCGGTTTAACTATCTCTCCTAAACTTCTTTATAAAAACATTGAATTTCACGTGTTTTAATGTTTTTTTATAAAAACATTGAATTTCACGTTAAAAAATCATAATATAATATATGTTATTTTTTTTTCTGACTTCAATTACAATTGTTTTTTATTTTTCTTTATAAGTAACGAGGAGAGAAAAAATCGAGCTATAATATCTCCAAATAATGTTTTCCATTTTTTGCAACATAATTCGACTGTAGCAAGATGAAAAGTAACAAAACTGTAATCAAAGAAAACTTCTTCTGAATTCTTTTTTTAATTACGAACCTGGTTTTTCCCATTTCTCTTAAAAGGTTAATATTTTGTTTTTAAAAAACAATAAAATAAAAAAAGGTAATATTATTATTTTTTTTATCATTAATGTTAATATTAACATACATTAAGATTGCTAAGGACAGGCGAAGCGAAATGAACATACATGTGACAATGCATATGACAATCATTGTGATAATTGTAAAAAATAGTTACTTTAAATGCTGATGGAAACCAACACTTTTTATGATGCAATGTAACGGCAATTATCTTGAGTAAACTAAAACAAAAAAAACTTTTATGATTCTATTCGAAAACTCAATACGCCTTATTGGAAAAAAAACTTATTATTTATTATGACCAAGATGCCGCGCGGGAACGAGAAAAAATACCTTCAATTCCTTGAGTTATATAAAAAAGCATATTCAACACTTGAAAAACAAAAGCAGTATCAGCAAGCACAAGAGTTGTGGAAAATAGTAAAAAACAATGAATCCTTGTATGAAAAAAAAATAAATGAGTTAAAAGAGAAAGTAACAAAGTCGAAAGTATCACTTATGTCATTCTGGGGAAATACCATTTCACCACCTAGCAAAAAGAAAAAAGATATCCATCCAGCGCCGTCTTCGTCAAATGAAACACGAAGTTTCCTAAATGCAACTACGACAGAGCCTGCAAGGATTGAAATTAGTAAGCTAATTTCTGTAATATTTTAAAAACTTTTTCTCTCTTGTGATTTTCTATACATTAGGCCGGGTGAATAAAAAAGAGCAATTGCTTTTTCTCAGTAACTGTTCAGCTTTGCGTGAATAAAAATTTGACCAAGATTGCTCAAATTTTTATTCACGTAAAGCTGAACAATTTACTCCAACAACGCTCAACTTTACGTAAATAGAAATTTGAGGATAATTGCTCAATTTTTTATTCACGTAAAACTGAACAATTACTGAGTAAAAGCAATTGCTCTTTTTTATTCACCCGGCCTACTGAGTTTAACCGTATTGTAAATCAAACTACATCGTACGACCTTAGAGCAGTCACAGAAATTTATAATGTTGACCACTAGACCTATTTTTCTATATCCAAAATAAATTGATTAGTAGTAATTGTCAAGAATTTATAATAGCTTATTTTTTGGCATTTTTTAATTTAGATTTAACAGACAACAAAAAAGAAAGAGAAAATCCGGCACAAGTTAGGAGTCGAAAGAAAATCTCAGATCTTGAATCACAACGTGCATCCTTGATAGTCGTACGTGATTCTGGTTTATCTACCGTAACAAAGGAACAAATAAACACTGTGAAAGAAACCATAAGAAAAGAAAAAACAAAATTGGGCAGGTAAGATAATTTAGTTATGTATTTCTTTATTTGATATTTCATTTTAGAATGCTTAACTGTCAGGTTTCTAGTAAATATCAAGAGATATATGTTAAATAATATAGAGTTTATTTATGCGTATAGAAAAGCGTCTTGGCTATAAAAACCAAACATTTTCAAAGACAGAAACTTTCATAATCTTATTGTAAATAATACTTTCTTATTTGAAATAAGAATTTGCGTACTTTTTCTTTTGCAACATTAGCCAAAAGTTGCGAAACCTTAAGTATAGAAGTTTTTATAACGGAATCAAAGCTTTACTGATATTTCGTTTTCAGATTGATTCGTGAATCAGCTCGTCAGAGAAAACGAAGACAAAAACTTAAAGAGAGCATCGAAACTGTGTGTCAGAACATCCCTGAAGCATCAAGTGCTTTGAAACAGTTTAGTTGAAACCATACTGGACGACCGCGTCTCAAAGTTGACCAACCAGAGCTTTTATCAACAATTATAAAAATTGTGCAAAATTTATCAGTAGCTGACGAACGTCGAAGAACAGAATGTCTCCGTAGCGTCTCCACTTTAGATGACCTTCAGGAAGAGTTGACAAAGATAGGCTTTACCTTGAGTAGGAGTGGTTTGTACCTTCGTCTTTTACCATGACGTGGAAACACTTCTGAAGGAAAAAAACATGTCAGCACAGTTCCAGTAAAGCTGTTACGTCCAGAAAACTCAATGCGAAAAAAAAATGACGATAGAATGTTTGCCAAATCATTCATTGACGACATGTTCGAAGTTTGCAAATTGTTTGGACCAAAAGCTGTGCTTTTCATTTCCAACGATGATAAAGCCAGGGTCCCATTGGGTATTGCTGCAGCAAGCCTTCAAGCGCCGTTGCTGATGCATATGGAATACAAGGTCAAACTCATGGATCACGATTTTGTCGTTAGCTCACAGCACAAATTGATCCCATCAAAGTATGGCGTATGCGAAGTTAACAATACTGGAAATGTATCATACAGTGGGGACACTTTCATACGCATAAGAAGTGCGAAACACGATACATCAAATGCTTTTACACATGCTTTTGATGTTAGAGAGCTTTTTAAAACCGAGTTGGTTAAACGTAGACCAATTATGTTAATGGAGACTGATGGAGCTCAGGATGAAGCACCACGTTTCCCTAAAACCTTAGCAACTGCTGTTGACCTCTTTTGCTTGCTTAATTTAGATGCCCTTCTTCATGGTGTGAATGCAGCTGGCCTTTCAGCCTTTAACCCCGTAGAACGAAGAATGGCACCTCTTTCTCGTGATTTGGCTGGAATAGTCCTTCCTCATGATTTTTTTGGCAATCACCTTGATTCTTCTGGAAAAACAATCGACTATGAATTGGAGGTAGAGAACTTTCAAAAAGCGGCTGACGTTTTATCCCAAGTTTGGGAGAAAACCGTCATTGACGGGTATCCTGTTCATTGCCAGGCTGTACCAGTTGGGAAAGCATATGAACCACCAATTCCAGATCCTGTTTGGGTAGACAAACATTGTCAGCAATCGCGATACAGCCTACAAATCGTAAAATGCCAAGAGGAGTCATGTTGCACACCGTTTGAAACAAACTGGCTGAAAAACTTCCTCCAACGTTTCATTCCATTTCCGGCAATCTACGAATACTGCGAGAATGGTTACAAAGCAATGGAACCGTCTCGATATTTTAAAAACGTATCAAAACAATCAACGTTTGCACCACTGACACATCGACTTTTGCTACATGATATACCTATAGAAGGATTAAAATACAAAATTATACCATTTGATCTGTATTGCCCATCGTTAAAGGAAAAGCTCTCAAACGGAATTTGCGACAAGTGCAATAAATACTGGCCAAGCGAGGCTGCAATGAAACGGCACAAGAAAGCACATACACAAAAAAAAAACACGGTTGAAATGGAGAGTGAGGATAGTGTAAGTGACAGTGAATCTATTAATAAAAGTGAAGATATCAGTGAGGAGATTGATTATAAAAGTGTGGAAGCAGAGTTCGTGCCTGTATTTGATAACATATTTGATTTATTTAAGTCACCATTTGAGGAAATATGAAATATATATACTCGCAACAAGAATTCTTTTTTAGAATATTTTTCTTTCTTTAACAAAAACTGGAAAGTTATTAACAAATAACTTTCCGGTTTTTAATTAAGCACAGAGAAATTAACAAAATGTTTTTTTGTGTTTAATGTTTTGAAAAATTAATGCGTTGGGGAAGGAAGGGGAGGAGAGCCTGAACTTGTAATAAAAAATGCGTACGAACGCAGAAGGAGGGGGAGGTCGTTGAAAGCATACAAGTGCGTACAAGGGGGGAGGGGGGTCCTAAATCAGTGGTTTTACTGCGTACGTACTTTATGGATGGCCCCTAATACTATTGGTATTATAAACAAATGTTTTTAAAAAAGAACCTGTTCTGAAAGAACAAACTGAAAGTAAAGAAAAATAAATATAAAAATTGAGTTGCATATGAAAGTTGAAAAACAAATAAAAAATTTAGAAAAAGTGTTACAACCAGAGTAGGAAATTAAAATGTAAGCATTCGCTTTATTAAGGACTGACAAATTTTTATTACTAAACTAGATTCATTTCATCAATCTAGCATAGTTTGGTTATACTTGGTTTTAGATATAGTTTCGTATGAAAACTTGTTTTTCATCAAATTATTATAATAAAAAAAAAGTAATCATACCAAACTTATTTTAAAATTTTACCAACAGTCATAGTATTTATAAATATCTTTATATTAGAAAAAGTATTTTATGTATTTATTAAATATAATATGTTTTCTAAATATCTCGATGGAATTTTTATGTTACCATTTTGAAATTAGTTAATTGAATTAAACTTCTATTAAAGTTCAATAAACCATTTAACAAACCGCTTAATATAAATACTGCATGCAATTATTTAAATAATTTGTAGAAACAATAAAACTTGTTGATCAAATTAAAAATTATGTATTGGAATATTGTACCACCTACCGACAATAATCTGAATCTATCTGATTTGTAATATTAAAAGTATTGGTTTTTTAAAATCGATTACGGTCTATATAAAGATGTTGTTTTAGGTTTGTCAAAAACATATAAAAACCTGGTTTTCCTTTATGTAATATAATCATTACCATTAGAAAACTACTACAGTTATGAAATTTATTTACAGTTATGAAAATTACTAATTTAAAATTGCTTCTTTCAAAAAGAGTTAATTTATTTTGTTTTTGAATAGCTGGATAGATTGCATTCATGCCTTCAGTTTAAATTTTATCTGTACGAGAATCAATTACACTTCGGCGGGATGAAAAAACACGCGATATTTGAATGTTTAAGCATTGGTTTTATCTTAAAAGGCGTAAAAGTTGTTTGTTTTACTTTGCGGTAATTCCGGATGTCATACCGAAAAAAATGATTTTTTTATTTTATGAGAAAATCTTTATCACCTACAGAGATATGAATTTTTTTTTGAAAAATTTTTTTAAAATAGAAAATTCCATATAATTCCATAACACACTTGTTTATAAAGTAAAAATCCCTTTACAAATCATAGATCCCGTTAACAGAATATAAAACCAGTTAATAAATTATATGATACAACCTTGCTTACCAACTGAAGACTTATTTTCATCAAAAACTCACATAGTTAACAACTTTATTTTAATTAACAAGTTTTCTGGAGAAGATCTTTTTTTTTTTTTTATTCTCAAAATTTTATTACTTAAGGTTCTTAAATTTTTTTCCTAAAGGTTTAAAATAGAAGCAAAAACTTTAAAACATAAGTAAAATCTATTTTAATGGTTGGTTTAAGCAAACAGAGGGGGGACAATAAAGTAAACAGGACAAAACATTGGGTTTAATATTTAAGGATTTAATGGTAATCAAACAAATTATTTAAAGAGTAGCTAAAAAAAAATAAAAAAGAAAAAGATGAAAAAAAAAAAAGAATAATTATATATAGAAATAAATATTAATCGTTATGGTTAAGTTCTGAGAATTCAAAGATCAACTGCAGAAATGTAAAAAAAGTTTAAAGAAACCATTCCGTTGAACTTATTATTATTTTTTTCAAATACATCAATAAATAGTGCCGTTGTCAGAGAAAATAAACCGTAATCCCATTCTTTATCCGCATTGACAATGCAATCTTAATTCGTTTCTAAATTATTTTTTTACTAAAGATTAAAAATATCATCTATTTAACTTAACAAGTGCTGTTGACAACAGTTTTTTATTTTGATCAGCATACATTAAAAGGTGCAATAAACAGTAGCTTGGCTGAAAACAAGGAGTAAGGTGTTTTAGAATGTTAATTTTATATGTTTTTCATATTGCTTTGTAAATTTAAAATAAAGTGTAACTATGTTTAATCATGTCTTTAAAGGTTCACTCAAAAAAAAATTTTCGTAGATAATTATATATTAGTTAATTTATATTTATTTTCAGTTAATTTATATTTATTTACATCTTATTTTATTATTCTATCATTAAAAATTTAGTTGATAGAATATTGATAGATTAAAGTTTATCTTTTCAACACATTTTACAACAACAGTTTGTTTATCTTTTCAACACATTTTACAACAACACTTAGTACCACACACACACACACACACACACACACACACACACACACACACACACACACACACACACACACACACACACACACACACGCACACACACACACACACACACGCACGCACACACACACTCTCGAACAATTTAGATTTTTTACTTTTAAATAATTTTAAAATAAACTTTCCAGTATTATTTTTCGCTTTTTTTTTTGCTTACAACTTTTTTGAAACAAAACTTATTTTTAAATCCTAACTTGACGCTAACTTTTTAAATTATCTCTTCTGTTATAAATTATCTCTTCTGTTATAAATTATCTCTGCTGTTATAAATTATCTCTTCTGTTATATCTTGATCTCTAAAAAATGTGGCCATCTATTTGTTAAGGAAATTAATTTCTCTTACAAATAGATAGCTACATTTAATTGTATGATATCTTTAATGATTGTTGGGATAATGATTTTGTAATGTAATTACTAAATATTGTTCGAGCTTAGTCTTAAATGACGGGAAATGACGTCAGGGTTTAAGTTTGTATTACAAATATAACAATATTTTCTGCTTTTATAATTTTATGGCGGTAAGAGACAATTTAAACTAGAAAGTAGTGTAGTTGTTTTGATATTTCGGTCTTTTTAGTATTACATCCAACTCTTAAAAGTATCTCGATCTGTGTTTCAGAGGTTACAGGGCTCTGAGATTCATACGTCTTATGTAACTTTTTACCTCAATTGTCTTTTATTATAAAGCTCTTAAATAAATATTTTTTGTTTTGAATCTACTCCACTGGGTTAATTTGATGCATCTTGGTCTATTTAAAGAATTGTAATTATTGGCTCAAAATACAACAACAATGTTTTTACTACTTGAACTTTGTCATCGAGTGGATCTTCTTTAAATTATTTTTTATTTTTCTCCTATAAAAATATTTTCGAATCCTTAGTAAAAGTCTTACTATAGATAAGTGTTCAAATCTAACAAATGCTGTGAAGCATTTTTAGAGTGCTTGCTTCAAAATAACAAAACCCGAAGTTTGATTTGATTTAACTGCTCTCGTCATATTTGCGATATCAAGCATCAGAAAAGTAGCCAAATTTTCTAGTTAAATGCTCTTTCTTAATGTTTTGTGAAAAGACGTAACGGTCTTTTCATCAAAGAATTTTAGGACTGTGGGAGCACTTTATTAACCATTAAAAAATTTTGGTTTTAATGACATGTCATTTGAGGAACTAATGCAGTTTTACGCTTTTAAATTGACTCCCTATATCAAAATAAATTAAGGAGAGGGCATCAAATAAAGGGAAGATGAGAAGGTAGGGTATAGCAGTATTGACAAGAGAAGGTCAGAAGAGGCTAATCAAGCTTCTACAAATTTATTTTTAGTATTTTTATTCTTAGAGTTTATGTTCTGCGGCATGCTGGCTAAAATCTTGGATAAAAAAACTCAATTTTAAATGAGTTTACTTGGTGCAGTTTTGAATTCGTTTGGTACAGTTTTGAATTCGTTTAGTGCAGTTTTGAATTCGTTTGGTGCAGTTTTGAGTTATTAAGTTAATCAACTTATGAAATTGATCTCATACTCTTTTTTGACTCGTTTCATTCAACTTCGATTTATTAGAGTTTTAAAATTTAGGTACAGTGAGTTTATAGTCACTGATTTTGCTTAGATAATTGATTACCATGAGATTTTCTTTCTTTAGCGTACCATATATAATTGAAAACCCTAAGGACTACAGCTCATCTGAATTACAAAATTTTTTTGAACCTTTGGTTACACACTTTATTCAAAAAATAAGATTTTTTGGGAGAGTTTTGTGAGGTTGTTGACGTCTACTTTAGGCATTATGACAATTATAATAATTTACATGCTGCTTGATTAGAAGCAAAATTGCAACAATTCTTTATTTTTTTAAAAGCTAATATTTAACTAAAAAAATGCTGTATTAGTATGCGCTTTCCAACACTTACACATGCCACTTAGTTGGCATCTGTAAGTTTTGAAATTAAGTTAATCTCAAGTAATCTGTAAATGACACATGTGAGGTGTATCACTTATTGTAAGAAAAGTTTGATAGCGTAAGGTAATCAAAGTTAATTAGCAGTATTATACAGATATTTTATTATCAGTGTTGACTGAACATATTATATATAGGTCTATATATAATATGTGTCACGCAACACTAGTTGCGTAATTTTAACAGCAAAATAAAGATAAAAATAAAGTTCGTATAAATATTAGAATAAAATAAGACTGAAGTTCTTTGTTTTGAAATTAACACAATTAGCGACTTCATTTGGTTAGACTATTCTATTTGTTGACAATCTTATTTATAAAGAAATGATTCTGAAATTCAAATATTATATGTCTGTATATATACATATATATATATATATATATATATATATATATATATATATATATATATATATATATATATATATATATATATATATATATATATATATATATATACAGTGGCAGATTAAGACTTCTTGGGGCCCGGGGCTATTTTTGTTTTTGGAGGCCTTTTTATGGGCCAGAGCCTAAAAATAACTAAAAAAAAAAAAAAAAGGTCCTCTAAAATTTTTGGGGGCCCGGGGCTATAGCCCCCTTGATCCGGCACTGTATATATATATATATATATATATATATATATATATATATATATATATATATATATATATATATATATATATATATCCAACGCCCTTTATTTTCAATAACTGCCTTGCATTTTTTTGGCATATATGGCATGAGATTGTCATTTACAGTGACGTCTATTAATTTCCACATATTCTCAACTTCTTCAAAAAACTATGCCGTATTTGAAAATGTTTTGTATCTTATTTTCTTCTCATCTATTTTCCACAGATTCTCTATAGGGTTGATGTCTGGAGATTGGGCTAGCCATTTTAATACATTAATATTTTGGGTTGCAAACCAGTTCCTTACAAGCTCCGAGGTGTGTTTAGGATCATTGTCTTGTTGAAAAGTAAATCTCAACGGCATGTTCCATTCCGCACATGGTAACACTATGTCTTCTGGTATAGCAGCATGCTATTACTTATCCATAATGTCTTCAATTCTATGAATTGAGCCCATCCCATAACAAGAGAAATAACTGCAAACCATTATACTTCCACTTCCATGCTTAACTGTTGGTAATAAATATTTGGGATTTAGCCTTTCTTGTTTAGAGCGTCTTACATGAAGAATTTCATCATTTCTAAGTATATAAAACTTCACTGAAGAGAACTTTTCTCTAATCTTTTGCAGTCCAGTGTTTGCGACGCCTCGCAAATACCATTCTGGCATCTATATTTTTTTATTCAACAATGGTTTATTTGCTGGCCGGCTGGCAAATAAGTTAGCCGCATTTAAATTATCTAATTCTACGTTAATTTTTGTTGCAGGTTCATCCCTCCTTTTATGATCTCGTTTTGATGTTTTACTCGGCCTGCCAGGACTGTTTACAATAATTACTAATCTTTTTTTCTTAAAAATTGTTATTTTTTTTGAAACAACAGATTTTAAAACACTTAATCTTCTTCCGATTTTACATTGTATTTTTTTTCCATTTTTATTATCACTTATAGTTCTTTCTTTAATTTCAATTGAAATAGTTAACCTCGCCATGTTAACTCGATAAAGACAGCATATAAAATATATTTAAATATTTAGTAAAGTATAAATAGCAGAAATATTTCATAGGTTGCTTCCTTTTTGTCGCTTAAAATCTTAAAAAAATAACTGATAGTTATTTTTTTTCAATAAATAATAAAAATAGTACCCTTACAAAAATTGGTAGAAATAAAATTTCATCAACACTTACTGGACTTGTGTAAAATGTTTTAAAACATGTTTTGTTAGTAAAATAGTTGACAAAATATTAATTCATTTAATGTTGTTTCCTTATATATATATATATATATATATATATATATATATATATATATATATATATATATATATATATATATATATATATATATATATATATATATATATATATATATATATATACAGATCACATAAGAATGACTTAATTATTAAAACTTATATATACAAATAATATATCAAAAGGTATAATAATATAAAAAGAAATTATTTTTTTATTTAAAAATTCCTCCTGAAAATTTATTTTGAACATTTGTTTGTAAAATAGAGTTTAGTTTTATCAAAGTGGATTAATGGTAAATTTTATTGCATCAAAAAAAAAAAAAAAAAAAAAAAAACTATTGTTGCGTAGAGTTCAAGAAAATAAAGCAATAAATCAATTTTTGCAAATAAAAAATTTTCAATATGATTATTATTTAAACATTTTATTTAATATTTTATACCTTTAAGCAAAAGCGAAAGAAAAAACAAACAAGTTTTATTATAAAAAAATGGCCAGGTTTTATAATACAAATAAATTATTTTCAAAATACAAAATGCTCTACTGCACAATGAAATGTTGTCCAACTGCCAATAAAACAACTTTTAATACATGCAAAGATATCCAACTGGCGCAAAATAAGATTTACCTTATTGCTCTGTGATCAAACTGGCATGAAGTCTTAAAATCAATAAAGATATCAAACTACTATAGAGAAAATTTTTTTTTTTAATTCAAAACGTTAATTTAATTTAAAGCGTTTGAATATTTATGATATCTTATGTATTGTAGCATTATTAAGTAAGTCTGCGTCTTCACAACGGTATTTATCATT